CCTACCTACCTACCTACCTACCTACCTACCTACCTACCTACCTATATACCTTACCTAACTATATACCTACATGCATATTTACAAGACAACAAATTACATTACATTACCAAATCTAACCTAACCTAGCCTACATACATACAAACAGACAGACAGACAGGCAGACATACATACACACATACATACACACATACATCACATCACATTACATCACATCACGTTATATTACATTACATACACATAAATACATTACATTACATTACATTACATAAAATTACATTACATTACTTACACACATACCTTACCTTACCTTACCATACATACATACATGTACATGTACATTTACACATACAAAAACACAAAACATACATACGCACACCAACATCTTTGGGCAAGACCTTCTTCCGAGTGGTTCTTATTGACGAGTCTTAATCAAGTACTTGGGCCCGTCGCCGTCTGCTTACCCACAAAACGCATGGTGCCCATGGCGACCACCAACTGAGGGGGCCCACGTGCCACCGGCCACCATCCACTCTTCGACTTTGGCCTCCGAATCTTCAGCGGGTCTGCTGGTGAGGTTTGGCAAACAGGAGGATTCAGGTCAACGCAAAAGGACTCCAGTATTGCTCATAGACTCATAGTTGCAAATAACAGTGTTGCGCAGTGATACTTATTGGGGCAGGATTTCAATGTATATATAATATATGTTACATGATTGACTAAAGCCATGTGTATATTATATATCAACACAAGAACACAAGACACAAGACACAATATTATATATTTATGCTACCATGCGTACAACATCAACACAAGAACACCGTCCCTCGGGCCAGTCGGAGACACAGGAAGGGACGGTGGGTGATGGGAGACATCGGATCTCGGAAACACTCTTGGAAACCAGAATGGCATTGACTGCCGTGGTTCCAAGGTATAGGTCAAAGACCTTGACTGCCATGACCTTGACTGCATACCTGGAATGTCTGCAAACTTGACTGCCATAGCTCAAAAATGTTCCAAGTATGACGGGTCTTGGGCCGGTCATGGGATAGCAACCCTCCTGCCGGAACCTGTGACGCTGTGACCACTAGAAGTTCAATCAGCTCGTCTGGCGGAACACTGCAGGTCTCTACAAGAAGAGAAGCAGTGTCAAAGGAAAAACCATGAATGGACTTTCATGGGGTGCAAGAAGTGCTTGATTGACCCGGCATACGCTTTCAAAGCTGCGATGTAAATTCCTCCCCTGCAGAGGACCACATGGAACCCCAAAACCACTAGGTTGGTATTCGGAAAGTGGTCTTCCACCACCAGTCAATTCTCAGGTTCCATGGTTCGTTTGCAAGAACGTATCCATCGAATTCCTTTCAGATTCCTTTGTCAACAGACTTTGACCCTTTGGATCTGAAGCAGATGCGTGGCCTCCGAGTTGGTATGTGAAGCGCTGAAGAGGCCGATGAACAGACCCACCTGGGTCGCCTGGAACCATGGCGCGGGGCGGGACCGAGCATGCGCAGAGAGCACCGGTGAACCACGGAACAGCGAAAGTTTGACTGACTTGCCCATCGCCTGGTTCTATTTTGAAAACTTGATCACTAGAAGTCAATCAACATACATGTAGAAAGATTTTCTTTGCTTGAAGTTTGAAAAACAAGGTTTCCTAACTGAGATGCTTCGTCAAACAACAAACTTAGTCCACCATTGATAGGACGAATTGTTACGAACTTTCTGCTTTATCCGTCAAATCACCACGACTGACCCCGCCTCCGCCCTCCGCGTGCCCCATCTAGTTCTACTGAAAGTCATTGTGCTATTGCATTGGAGGAATTCCATTGTGCCATTGTGCTATTGCAAAGCTTGTTTCTTAACATGCAAGACTGGCACTGTTGAAGAGCAGTGCTCGACTCCCCAACAACCTACCCGACCTCTGGCAATGCCGATGGGGAGGCTTCCACTAGAAACTCAAGTCCTGACCACATAGACCAAAAAGTCAAAAGACGTATCCTTCCTTCGTAAAAGTGGCCCTCAAACCATGCATAGATTTACAGTTTCAAAGTCGAACACTGAATGTACAGCATTTGGTACCACTCACCGTGCTGCTATGGTACACCAAACAAAGGGACAATGTTCTGCGTATGAGTAGTCTTAATCTGACGAATCGTTTCCTCCTATTATGAAAGAACGTGCGCCCCCACGTGCGCCCCCCTCCGCAATTCCCATAAAACAAATAAAACGATTGAAATTTGGGTGTGCTATTTTGGGGTGTTCACCCAACGTGGGTGGAACACACGTCAATTTACGAGTTCCATACAATTCCTTTGTCAATCTCGTAACAACAATTGAAAACAATAACACATCAAATTGAAATGCAAACACTATCTAATTTTGATAATTTGTGAAAACTTTCATCAAATGCACAAATGATGGTTTTGAAATAGAACACAGTTTAATTTACATAAAGCAAAAACACATGGGAAAAAACATGTCTACGTTTCTTTGACCGAGTGCCGCACTCACATCCACAACGAAAACATGTTTAGCAGCGGGACAAAGAAACAATATGTATACATATATATATATATAAACAATATATCAATACATCTACTTTTTTACATATTGCAAATCAGAAAGAAGAAAACATCAACAAACCTTACAACAGAAAACTCCCTGTAGTACTATGGGAATGGGGTCCCCAAAACCGTTGTGTCAGCGAAAACTAAGCAATTGGGTTATGTTTACTAATGCAAATGGATTATGTGTAGCTGTTGATGATGGTGGATGTAGATAAGGGTGTGGCCAGAAACCCTGGTATGGATCGTTCCGCGCTGCAGCGAGAGTGATCCAAACCCTATGGATCAGAGCGCTGATCCAAGCCCTATGGATCACACGAGTGGCTCACTTGATCCAAGCACTTGATCCAAGCCTGATCCACAAGTGAACCCTGACACAGTGGACTCAAAGAGCTGTGCGTGAATGTGTGCGTGTTTTTGCTCGCCTTTGTCATGCCATGTGTCTAGTCTGCCCATGTCACAAGGATGCATGGAATGCTCAGGCAATGCAAAAACCTAATCCAGGAAAGTCAAGTTCACAATTAGGTGACACTTTCAACTTACTGGCTTCCGGTAAATCTTTTTGTTGGGCTCATGCACTTCCAGTTTCTTGGGTCCACCAAGAGTAGACAAGCAGCTGGATTGAGTTCACCACTCATTTTTCAGCTATCAACAGTTTTCCAATTAGTGGACTCCGGTAAGTTGCAAGTGCCCGCCCTGACACAGTGGACTCAAAGAGCTGTGTGTGAGCGAAGCCTTTGGGAAAGGCGCTTCGAGAGCAGTCTAGTTGAAACCAAACGCATGTAATATGTTTTGTTCCCTAGATTCCCCAGATAGCGTGAGCTGTTGGGGTTCTTATTACTTCAACTAGAAGAAAAGCTGCATGTGTGCGCTTGGGTTTTGGTCCTGGTGCCACTGCAGGGCCCCGCTGTTGTTGGCCCTTGGGAGCTTGGGTGCTGGCGCTGTTGCAGAGTGCCGCCGCTTTGCATGCTTGAGAGATTGGGTGCTGGTTCCGCTGCAGGGTGCCGCTGCTGTGTGCGCTTGGGAGCTTGGGTGCTGGCGCTGTTGCAGGGTGCCGCTGCTGTGTTGCAAGCAAAGAAAGAGGTGCCTGCGCGCGCTATGGAGTATATGGGCGCTGGTGCCTGTGTAGGGTGCCGCTGCTGCACTGCCCGCAAAGATTGTTTGCTATCTGGGGTCAGGGCTGGCATATATTTTTTCATTGCAGTACCTTTTACCTCTTGACATCTCTTGACTATATATAATTGAGTCTACCACACTGAGTACAACCACGTTTCATTGACACAAACAGCTTGAAAATGCTGCGTCTTTGTTCAGATTGACATACATGAGCTCGTTGTACACTAGCTTTATGATGCTCTTCAATTGAATATCATCAACATCATGTTTGGGCACAATTGTTGTACTAATGTCGTAGGAAACCACATAAAACGTTAGGCGAGTCGCATATGCCAGTGTCGGCTCTAGCTTTTGAACACCGCCACTGCAGCTGTCCTTGTGCTTCTGAAACGAGTTGGGGGCACATGATAGGACATGTCAATTGCCCCTCAGGATGTTATCAGGCCATATTATATTAGGCAATGACGGCAATGAGTGTGATGACTGAACCTCCCAAAAGATCGGTAACAATCCTTCGTCAGGGCGTGGGTTGGTTCCAGACCAAACCGAGACATCTCACCGGCTAGCAAAGAAACCGTATGAAAACGTACAGATCCTAAAAGAAGCACATTCCGTTTCTCTTAGGTTGGAAGCCATCGCTCTCAGGTTGGAGGCCATCGCTATTAGGGTGCAGGTGTCTGTGGCACCAACCTGCAGGACCTGCCAGGGCCGATGTTCGAAGCACTGTCTGTCGGACTGCCCGCTCCGTCGCGCAATTGGAGGCCACGCAATGGTGCGCCAGCACTGGCGCCAGCCTGTGAACAAACCAAGCGCAGCCGAGTGACCAAATCTTGGGGGATCCACATGGTTTCAACTTCAGTGTGTAGTCAAGGGAGCACAATCCAAGAGTAAAAATACTGAGGTTTCAGTTATTGCATGGTATTTCTTATTGAACACTATAGACGAACCCTGCGAGATTAATTTCAACTTGTCATATAGCCCTTCCAACCCGACATGTTAGCAGCACGAATGGTTTACCCCTTGCAAAGCAAATTGCTGTATACAACAATCTCACCATCTGAGATGACCGGCTTCCTATGATTCCGTTTTTTGAATACTTAACTAACCTCCTCAACTGCTGCCAGTCACTCACACTTTAATCATCAGCAAATGGAACATGCACAACTCACCTCAGAGATTTAAGCACCTTGCCCACTACAAACAACTAGGTGTTGTTTTGACCTTGGCTTTGCACCTGTTCAATAAACAACTGCATTGTCCTGCAAAGGGCACACATGTTGCCCTTGAGGCACTGTTTGCATGTCAATGTTCTTTCTCCCATTCATTCCCATTCTATGAATGATGAACAAAGGGGCAAACGGCTCAAGATTTGGCATACTCTGCACTTCCTATGCATTTCACAGCTTGTCACTCATCCACGGTGTCACATCTTGCTGTCACTCTGTACACAGAAACGGCATAGAAAACCTGGTGCATGGCACGTGACTCGCTGGCAGCTCGAGTGATTCGTCCGAAACTCACGACACTCGATCGTTGCCTCCCGCGGTGACTCTGCTGGGAGATCTCGGATGGGCCTCACAGGTCAGGACGGGTCACGTGGAGCTCCACTTCCTTGCCAAAATACAACGTCATTTAGAGAACAGCCGGTTTGAAGCCATCCACATGTAATTGTTCTTCATCTGTTATTCATTGGAGGAATCCCTTTGGCAGTATGTGGGGGAAAACGCTTTTTCCTGTGCGGGCCAAATGGCCTTGGTCCTGGGAACATCCATTGGCTCTTACCGGCTGGTCGCATTCATCTGGTGACCCAAAACCAGTCAGAAGCGCATCGGGATGGTCATCTCTCCCAGTATTTCTGCGACACCTCGACCGCGCTATATACGCCTGCATAGTGCATGAAATATATGTCGAATTACAATGTTCATATATTGCTTGTATGTATATATATATGTGGCAGGGACCTTTTGGTAACATTTCGTTGCGGATGAAAAGCACCGGCACATTTCTCACTAGCGCGCACAGGTCTCATTTGCCCATGCCACCACGCACAGGGGAAGGAGAAACCGGACGTCGCGGGTCCTTAGATCGGTTTCTCATTGTTTTTCATTGTTCAATTATTGCACATGTATATTGGGAAGCATGCGTTGCAACTAATGAATCAGCCAAAGCGTCGTCCACTGATCTCTGGCCTGTGTGAAAATTCTCCCAGTAGAACACTCCTGGCTTTGTGCCTTGGAGACAAGCGCTGATGGCTGATGGTTCCCGAAGCCTAGAACGGTTGGCATGACGTTCAAAAGCTTGTTACGCTTTTCAAAAGAGTACGGCCGCTTTTGCGTTCAAGCCAGGCTGCGGCTTTCGATCTTGCGCCAGCTCAAGTTGTACGCCTTTTCCTCACAAAGGTACCGATTGAAAAATCTTTTCGATAACCATCAACCGGATTGATTCCCGCGCAGATATGAACATAGTGTTTGGTGAATTCAATTCATGAGTGGCTTCGTGCCAAAACAAATGAGGCTCCCAAAAGCCACGTGATCATACGGTTGAAAGAGTTAAAAGAATGTCTCCGTCATTTTCGCATGCCAATCATCCTTGCGTCTTTGCAACGCGTCGAACCATCCTTTGGAAGGGACAGAGGCCTCCACCATTTCCTCAGCGTGCAACTCTGAAACGCCCAGGGCGCATTGATTGAATTGTTTGTCCATGTCGGGCCGCCAGAAATATGTTGATTTGAGCGTTAAACAAAAGTTCCTGCAACTCCGTAACTTGCCCGCAATTCTGCCAAATCTGAGACCCTGGCGTGCCATCTGGGCTTGAAGCCCCTGCCAGGTGGTGCGGATGTAAATGGTCTACGCAGGTAAACTGTAAAGAAAGAGCCACTCTTGCAAAGCAATACATGTTCTTTTTGGTGGCTAGAATCAGACTCTGCTCCACATGGATTGTGAAACTAACAAGCGCAAAACACAAGCCAGAGCACAAACCTATGTACGTTTTTGTTGAAGCATCAGCTTTCGTAAGCTCAACAAATCATATGTTTCTATGTTCGCTCGGCACCATAGTTCTAGTTTCTCTTTGGAGCGGCGTCCTACACCACCGGAGTATGGATTTCGTCGCCCGACTCACCTTTCTGCACCCGGAATACAATCCGACGGGTCACGAAAGCATTGTCTCCCCAACGACGCACTGGCCTTGCCACCGTGGACACCATATACATCGACGGGTCCCGTAGCTCCTGGATGGGGCAACCACATACCATGACTTACAAAAAAGAATAAGCGTGAATAGCACGTATATTGTTGATGCTTTGACAGTTTGCATGGCTTTTGAAGAGTTTGTTTGCTTTTGTTGTGTTTACTCTTCTTCACACTCCGCAGACCTTCGCAGGACAATGATACTTGGCTAAGATCCTTTATCTAAGCTTACTGTTCTGCTTCGACTCTTCACCTCCACCTCGCCAGATCCCCGATTCGACGAAGCGGGTGTCCTTGGACTTCTCAAGGGCAAACTCCAAGAGCTTTGCCGCATGCTGTGGCGGAAGGCCTGGGACATCGCAAACATCCGATGGTTAAAAACACAAAACAAACAATGCACTTCCAAGTCTGTCAAAAGAAGTCCTTCATCAAAAGGATTCTGATCAAAACCTTTCAACCAGCTCTCTGGAGAACATGTGAAAAAAGAAAAGTCTGATACCTTCTATACATCTCAAATATCATTACATCTGTGTCTTCATAACTCTACGCCGTTCCAGTGGCCTGTCACTGCGACGAGCGCTTCGTTTTGTACCGAAGGACCACCTTTTTGCACCTGGCTCCTCAGTGACGACCACATATCCATCCGACCGGGAAGATCGAAAGCGGACGTTCACAATCCACCGAAACATTGCTTTTGGTTCAAGGGGCGACCATCTGCATGGAAGTCTATCATAGAAATTAAGGGGGGACCATCTGGATGGACGCTGTATTACAACTCACCGACTGCCCTCGACCAAAATCTAATCTCTGAGAATCAAATTGGATTAAAGTTCACAGGGTATGTTTCTTGAAGTGCTTCACTGTCAGTCTCTATGTTTCACTTCAGATCCCCACAGAAGCCGCTCCATGGTTATTGGATCAATGCCTTCCGGGCCTGAGCCACGAAAAGACAGTCGATCCGAGAAACTTTCCCATTCGTTTCCAGGAGACAACTGAAGAAGCCATGCCATGGTATGTGAAAAGTAAGGAACTAAGCAGTAAATTGATTTTAGTGTTTATGTGAGGAAAACACCTCTTGATATGGGTAGTGGCCCTGTCATCGACCGTCTCCCCACTCCTCACCTGAAGGTGCTGCATTTTGCAGACCTTTCGCAGCTCCTGTGCCAAGCTTTCCGCATTCAATCGGATCAAGGAAAACCTAATGCAGCCTATAGGCAAACCGACCTGGCGATGATCTGTGATTGGTAGATCACTTGTCAATGTGTCAACTTGTCAACGGCTAATGCGTTTGTGTCACTCATTCACTAATAGCCGAAGTGTCTCGCATCACGACAATCAAACATGATTCGAAAAAAACGGCGCGGAGCGCTTCGGCGTAATCCGCCTGGAGGAAGCTTCTCAGCGACCTGCAGCCATGAAGATTTCGTAAAGTTCCCTCATGACACATGTCGTGGCGTCGTTGCTGTGCTAACTGTTCTCAGAATGTGCACTGTGTAGTTTGTTCTGTCCTATTTCAATCCGTACCCTTGCGCACAGCTGAACGCTCAGCATGAGAGCCGGGCCTCTTCGGCTCGCGCAACACACTGCTTCTTTGCCGCAGCGCCGCGCTCACCTGTCATGCCGGTGGCGCATCTTTGGGTATGAATATGCCATATAATGTTCCGCTGTACCTTCTTGTCTACAACATATGATGTTTGATCAATATTCTTTCATCCTGGAATGGCCATTCATCGCGAAAAAGCAGATATCTTTCGCGGATCTTTCGCGACCTCATCGCGAAGCATGTTCCTCAAGAGAGGTTGGTTACTTAACATGTTTTGGGTGAGTCAGAGAGTCATGTATATTTATATATAGAGATACGGTGGGCGGAAGAAGAAATCCTGCACCACTTTGATACAGCCGTCATCCAAAGCTGACAGACCAGCAGCCCCACATCCCTATTCCAGGTCGTTGGGGTATGGGGGTGGGGTCAAGTTTGGTAGGCAGAACTTTATCGGCACATTCGTGAAACTTTCGCGGATCTTTCGCGAAAAATCATTAATGATTTCCCCATTGGCTCAAACTGGCTCAGCCAGGTGATTGCACTTTGGCTGTATTTGGCGCCATCTCTGTGGCTAGATTGCTTCAAGCACAAATGCCTCTGACAACTATACACATCTGTGATCTATGACACATAATACAGGAATCCCACAAACATACGCTACACTACACATTGACATCCCAAAACAAACTGAAACCAAGTAAAGTTCTACGTAGAAGCTTTTTATCCAGTGGGCCATAAAAGGAGAACCAATATTAAAACCAGAACCTTCGATAAATCTTTCGCGAAAAACATGTACTTTCGCGAACCTCATCGCGAAGCTTTCGCGGAGGGTTTTAACAACATCTAAAAGGCTGTTTTATATTAAACTCCTTACGCTGGGTTTTCGATCATCTCCCATATGGCTCACAACTACTTTTTGGACATGCCCGGAAGGACTCGATTCGCCGTCAAACCCGGGTATAGGCCTTCCACGGCAAGTCCATACCAATCTGCCATCCGCTTGGCGCGCCGCTCTCTGCGCGCCATGGCAAAGGGCCAAGGGGTGAAAAGCGGAGCAACCGTAAACATAGAACATTGCAGTCAACAATGAAACATCTGTCCTTTATTGCCTTTTGAACGGATGACTTTTGTGACATTGAAACCCATTGAAACCCACGACACTTCCGCGCACCCATGGGGAAAAAAGGAAAAACTATAGCCAACAGTTCACATCGACATGCATGGTGAAGCGTTTCGTTTAGTCTCTCGGTCTCTCGTCTATTGTTTTTCGTCTTAGTCAGTCAGAATACAGCAGCATATGAAAACTATTTAGCGCATTTAGCACATTAGTCTTTTGTTGTCTACCAGAAAAAACGTCCAGCCAGCAATCAAGTTTTGCGTATTAGCGCTGTGCACGTCCATCCTACACACATATGATATGGCACGCAGTGAAACCTAACTATAACTCCACCATCTGCAAGAAATATAGAAAAAGCTAAATTATCCTTTTTGTAACAAATACTATTTGCTGTCCCCGAAATTTTTCGAATCAGTCTACCATGTCAACACTACCTTAAAACAACAAATAGTAGTAATAGTAGTCGGGATGCGCTTAGCAATGAAAGGTGATGAACCAAAATAAATTGGAAAGAGAAATCACATCACCAGAAACAAAACCCATGCATGCCAGATGCACCACTTGTTAACTCACAACCCTGGTACGGGAAGAAAGGAGACCGGGACCAGCGCAGCAAACCAGCCGTGCAAGGGTGGCTCAAAGAAGAAACCTACCACCCCAAAATTTAACCAAAAAGGTCGCAACGAATGAAGACCCCTTCATAAAGGAGAGTGCGGGCGGATCAAA